TGATTGCAGAGTGTAGCTTTGAACAGAGCAAAAATACGAATCACCAGAGTTTGCCCGGATTTCTCTACACAGAAAGCACGCAACTGAGTTTGATCGAGTACTTCTCTTTGGATTAAATCACTGTCTCCACACAGTGTTTTGTGTTTACCTCAAATTTCAAGCGAGTAAGCAATCGAAAATCTTTCAACTCTTTTCACTACAGGTACTTTAACTCGCTTCATATTACAAGCCTCTTCTACAACCGACACAATGATTGTCTGGCCATACACCTAGACTATATATATATATATATATATATACGCATGGAAACATGGTGATTAATTCTTGAAAAAACTACACAATTAATCAAAGTTGTAACGTAGGTGAAAAACGTCCTTTTATAGAATGCAGTTTCAATGATATGATTAATGAGTAACTGTTTATGGATTTTTCCTACAATATGGATTAGTTTATACGCATAAACACAACAGTAGCGACTACATTAGTGGTTATCAGTGGATGGTATTGTCTGCATTTCGAAAAGGACAATGTCACACCATAACCACAATATAATTAATTATCACTACAAAATACGGTATAAGAAAGAATAAATTGGAATTATATTCGATGATGAATGAGATTTATTTTTATGAGAAACCCATTAATAAAAATAATAATAATAATATTCCTTTTAGATTGGATTCTCTACCCCCACCCCAGCATTTTTAAAGGCCTTTCTTTTCAGGAATAAATTCACATGAAGGTGCACGAGATTTTGTTCTACCGCAAATCTACGTGCACAATAGTATTTTGCCTACGATGTAGGGGTCTACGTCTCTTGCTCTAGACCGACAGATTCACTGGAAAAGGCTATTGTGTTACAAGCGTTACAACAGAGACATCAAAAAGGTATATTCTCTAAGAGTCTAGAAAAGTGAGAATAATGAATAATACCAGTGTTAATAATGCTTATTATTATTATTATTAATATTATTATTATTAATGCAATGAGGATTTCAGAAATACCTTCCAGTTTAATTCATTAAGGCTAGTTATGAGTGGAAAATACAAACCAAAAATAATAATAATAATAAATTGGACAAAGCGCATGAGAGGAATGGAGACTTTAGCTGCTTTTTTGTTGTATATTCTGGGAGGCAGAATAATTAATGATAAAATAATGTGTGCCTAGATGAATGACGCATGAATGAAGACAGATGATGTTATACATAGGAAAATTTTACATACAAAAAAGGGTTAGATAAAATTTACAGATATTGTAACCTAGGCAGTACCAATTAGAGGACATAGTTGATTTCTCCTTACTTTTTATAGGTTTTATGAGAATGCTTTTGTGTGTGTGTGTGTGCACATATAATAAGAGAAATAAACACGAAACTTGTTTTTAGTATTATTCTATAGATCCAACGTTTTCCAAAGGTATAAACGTTACATTCTACTTTTACACTAATCTGATATATTTAGCAGACATAAACTGTAACGATGTGAAAATGGTGATTCTACGCAAAAAAATGGCTATGACTTAGTATCTTGACGGCAAAATTCGAAGAGAAATGAGGATTACAGTAGATAAGGATGTTAAACTCTATTGTTGATTTAACACATCCACGAGGTGTAGTTTCATGTGAGGTTTTCAATGTATCGGAAAACTTCTCACGGTTACAGTTTTACTGAGAGCCACAAATGCTGGCGAAAAATTCAGTTGTCAAGGCATATCCATGCCGCAGATAAAATCAATTATCTAAGTGAATTATGATGCCTTTGTGCTAATCTGTAATCAGATAACTGATGTAATTTAAATAATAAAACTTAACTGGTAACACACATACACATCTATTCGTAGTTGAACCCGTAGTTAAAAGGTTAACACTGACTGACTGATTGAATGGTTTCAACCTAGACCTTTTCACAGATGTGCAGCAGTTCGAGTTGCCACACTCCCTCCATGTAGTACGCAAACCAGGACAAGAGGGTAAGAAAACAGCCAAAACATAGATAATAAACAGAGATATGAAGCAATAGTAATATTGAAAAACAATAGAATTTTATTTATTTATAAATCACAAAGAGTGAATGCACCCTCACCAGCCATTGAGAACTATTTTGGACCAAATCACTGTCTCCAATCATGCATTCTTACAATCCCGAGGACCACAAGCAGTCAGGAAATGTACACCGCCCTACTTGATTGGCTTAAACTAACTGTTGCGGATTTCAGTGACTGATGAAGCCAAGTTTTGGTTTGACCACCACCGCCTCTTTTCCAACCTGATCCATGCTATATCAGCTAATATTGCCCGTCGAGGAAGGCGGTCAATGGCTAGGCATGCGTATCACATGTCCTAACCATCTCAATCGATGCAGCTGCTTCCCAACCTCGTGGATTGATTTCCCCTCCTTACCTAGCACTCGACCGACGTTTAACCTCAATATTACTCACCTTATTGTACCACTAAACAAGGGAAATAGAATGCAGACACTTATGATCAAAGACAACTAGCCAGGCTTTTCATGTCTTCCAACTCAAATGACCATGTCTCACTCACATACATAAACGAGGACAGAGCAAACTGCTGAGCAGTACATAAGCCCTTTGGTTGACATCCAATCAGCTGGATATCACGTCTACGCCCTAGATGATGCACGTTGGTATATCTCATAAGAGTTTTATGTTTTTTCGACTACCAAGTGTAACTATTTCCATTGAAATTAATGCAAAAATATTAGAAAGAAAGCAGGACTTTAGCTTATCGTGTACACTGAATTTACGAAAATACAAGACCAAAAATGAAACACATCTTATTTTGGTGTGATATAAACAGCATAAGCAATTGGTGTAATATTAACTATGATTCCTTAATATACTTCAAAATATGTGTGTAACACTTATCAACATGTCTTAATAGCATCTAAGCAATACGGGAGGTCAATGATTGACCAAATACCTTAACGGTATTATCTGACTGCAGCACCGGTTAACGCGAGTTCAAATCCCTGAAAGAACATCAGGTCATTCAGGACCGTAGAAATATCTAGCTAACGATTTTCTCCAACCACCTAAAATCAGCATACCTTAACAATATTTAAGCAGTACATTCTAATCTTCTCTTGACCTATTCCAGCATCAGTCCAAAAATTACAGACAATTTCAAAGTGACTTTCATCATTAATCGGCAAAAGCTTGGAAAACCAAGAGGACTGGACAACTGTTAAATGCAACCATTTTGGAATCGGTGAATAGTGCTGACTCATAAATACATATATGATCAAGAGGACAACATTTTTTCAGAGAGCAAGTTATCTCTCAACTATTTAATCGCAGTCTAATGGTGCTTATTTAAAGATATAAATATCTTTATTTCTATCGACCTGTGTATAACATGAACATCGCTCAAGTAAATTGAGATGTTGTCGATCTTATTATTCATATGCAGACATTGATCCATGAAAACAAAGAGATCCATACTTGATTTTCTGTCAAATGAGAGGTACGCCAAATAAATAAACCAGCACAACAATGAACTAACCGGTATATTATTATATGTGTAAAACTTGGGCACTGTGGTAGTAAGTAATTCCATATTACTTTGTTTATTAGATATATCACACCGTGGAACAATATTATTATTAACTGGATGACAAGGTTTCGAACAAAATTTATTCTTCATAATCATATCAACTGTAATCACACGACTTTGAAACTTGAGTTTTATAGTTTTCTTCGTTTTCTACTATTTCTCGTATGGGTAGTAGAATTTTCCAGATATCTGGGACAGGTGATGAGTCATTCCTACTACATGTATTTGCAGCTGATTCGATAAACGAAGATTCTGTTACTAATCTCTCCCTCCACCCTGTGACATTAGATTTTAAAACTGTCATCCTATCTCATCCAGCCTATTGTATGGGATATTGTGTGTGACTGCATGTAATGCTATAGCTGAATTATTCTCTGGATTTCTTATCTTATTTGGGTCAACCAATCTAGATTTTGCTAGGTTTTTATGTTCGGCTAGTCTGACTGCCCCTGTTCTACTAGTTTGACCTATGTGTTTGACCTGACAATCATTGTAGTCAGGCAGGGTATTAGATAAACTAAATCGTTTTGTTTTAAAGGCTCCACAAGATTATTTAACCGACAAAGCTTGTTTCTAACTGAGTTTGTGGGTTTGAATGCCAGCCATTTTTATTCCTGCCTTGTTAAGAATTCTGCGTAAGGTTCCCGAGGTTCTTTCCTTGTATGGAATTACTACTGATGACTTAGATTCCTTATTGTTGGTGTCGTCATTAATATTATTATCATTATTATTGTTATTATTATCATCACTATCGCTACTATCATTATTTATTTTATTTCTACATTTCCTTACATATTTCCTGACTAATTTATCCGGATAATTATTAAGTTTCAAGGCTTCTTTTATGTGTATCACTTCCTGTCTTAGATTTTCCTTGGTAACTACTTAGTCTTTGTGCTCTGTCATTTAAACATTTCACTAATCCTATTTTTACTGACAAAGGATGGGATGATCGGAAGTCGTGTGATTACAATTGATATGATTATGAACAATAAATTTTGTTCGAAACGTCATCCAATAAATAATAATACTGTTTCACTGTGTGATACATCTAATAAACAAACTAATATGGAACTAACCGGTATAGTTTTTTATATTCTTTTGCGTTAAGAGTGGAACATATAGTTTCAAGTTAGGGGGCTCCGAAGTCTCGAGATAGTAGTGGTTTTATTTTTACGAGGAAGGATCGATAGCCTCATACCCAACATTCCTTCTTTAGCGGACTTAGCAAAAATTTAGGAGTACACCGGTCGGGGATCGCAACCCGGACCCCGTGTGTCTTTGTCAAGCTTTCTACCGCTGGACCACCGAGGTACCAGCCAGTGTACTAGCTATTATTATTACTACTACTCCTTGACTCAGATAGCCTAAACGAAAGTTTTTTTATACTGAAAAAAAACAGGGAAAGGAAAAACAACTTACCACGGTCATTATCTATTCCATCATCACATGTTGTTTCAATTTCTCTCTGACACGCACTACCAGACCAGCCCGAGGCACATTGACAGTAATAATTACCCGAAACTGAATTCATTGCACACTGACCATGTTTGTTGCACTGGTCAGGACATCCATCTATGAAAAAAGCAAAACAAGTATAAAACACAATGTCAGTTATCTACTTTCCGACATAATCCAGGCAGAGCTGTTAACAACACATGCCTTCAAACTATAAATCCCTCCATTACTGAGTAGTGGACTTTTAAAATCATGTACTTAATAGTCGAGGTGTTTTTTTTTAAATTACTCAGACCATTCTCAACAACCATTACTCAGAACAGTAATTAATTATGGATGCAGCATGCATGGTGGCACAGTGGTTAGGACTCTCGCCGACCATGCACATGGTCCGAGGTTCGACCCGCTGCCGACACACACCTGATATCTATGGTCGGCCTGCAAAATTTGGGCTACCGATATCACATGCTGAAAATTCCATACATGTACCAAAAATACAGCGTGGAATCAAGCTGTAATAAAAAAAATGCTCAATCGTCAAATATATGTATTACAATCCTCTCACAGTAAACAGGTTCAATGGCATAAATTATAGTTGTTACACGTAAAAGCTCAAGTTAAAACTTGTCATCAAACCGGTTATATCGTTCGTTATATATGTACTCAGAATACATAAACTGATATCCGAAAGCCAGTGACTCGTTCCATATATATATATATATATATATATATATATATTGCTTCTACCACAAAAATAACAATCACTACCGTATGTATCATCGGCACAACAGATAGACAACCGGATATATTAATGATTAATACAAACACTTATTATTATTATTGTTATTATCTAGATGTAAGTATAATCGGAGTGTTTCAGTGTAGAACAAACTAACTAGTTAGCTAATCAATCACCACTATACATACGCACGTAGTATTTACATTTTTATACAACACAAGAGAAGGTGGAAAAATTCATTTTGCCGCGATCGCTTATCAAGATTAGCGCACATGGGTGAGTGATATTAACAATGCGTCTGCGCAGATATATCACTTAGGCAATTACACGAACTATTTCTATTGCGTATTTAAACTTCATCTGATGCAAAAGTGTTCATCATTCAACAAATTAAATACTAGGCAATTAATTCAACCTGTGTCATATGTGAGGTATGCCCACGTATGTATGTATGCATGTGTATGTGTGTAACGGAGGGGGAGACTAAGAAGCGAGGGAAGAGAAGAAAAAAAGTGAGAAACAGTCAAATCACTAAGTAGAAAAAGTATTCATCTCTACAAATCAAAGACTTTTTGAGTAGTATATTCTCCCCTATTTACGAAGTTGATTTCACTTTCCTTCAAACAAAAGTCAATAAAAACCATGATGATAAAAACTAAAACTGATCTATTCGTATTTAATTGTTCCTTAATCTCTATTCTAACCTCAACTATTAATCTCTAGAATTAACACGCTTCAATAGTTACACACATTCTACTTCACGCTGACTTACAAAACTCTACCATTCAAAATCCATTCTCCAGAAAAAAAGACATACCTAATGTACAATACTTTCCATTCCATCCAACATTACAAGTACATGTACCATTAGTACAATGTCCGTTAATGAAACACCGAGTATCACATCGTTTAGTAGTACACGTTGAACCTGTCCAACCGGAAAAGCAACGGCACTGAGGCTGTTCATATCCATTGATGTAGTCACAAATACCATTCGGACCACAGTCAAGTGGACACTCTGGGAAACCAAATTAAAAAAACAAGAGAAACACAATTATAAATGAAGCAGTTTTTTTATTAGAATAACTAAGCATCACTTGACCTTGTCTGATGACTGTAGATGATGGCATAACAACAAACGATTAAATGACATAGATGACCAATGAAACCTATTATTATTATTATTTCCTTTAATTCCTAGAAAAACATAGGGCTTCAGCCGCGCGTCTCCATTGCATTCGGTTCTCTCCTAGAGTTTTCACCTGGCTCCAAGTCTGCCCACATGCTTTCATCTCCTCTTCACATAACCTCCTCCAGGTCACCCTTGCACTGACGACCAACTCGCCGCTTCCCTTTCGGGTTGCACTCGAGCGATGGCTTGTCTACTGATGTCACTTGATGGTTTGATTCCTCAGAGTATGGCCAATCCATCTCCATTTCTTCCTGCCTATTTGTTTCACAATCGGTTCCTGGTTGGTTTGCTCCCAAAGAACCTTCCCTGTTGCTGATCTTTTATGGCCATCTGATCTTAAGTACTGAGAGAAGACAACTGTTAATGAAGATCTGTAGTTTGCTTGAGATGCTCTTTATGATGCGCCAAGTCTCTGATCCATCCGTATAGTAGCACTGACTTCACAGTGGAGTCGAAAATCCGGATCTTATTTTTTATGATGAGTGCTGTTGACCTCCAACACAGACTTGAGAGTAATGAAAGCTTGTCTTGCTTTCCCGATTCTCGCTTTGATATCCTCGTTAGTTCCGCCTGTAGTTGAAACGATGTTTCCGAGGTAGCCAGGTGAAGGAAGTTGTCTCTTTCAGGTTCCTCCCATTTATGCTGGCTGATTGTTGTCTGTTGTTTTTGTTGGCCAGGAATCTTCATCACCTCTGTTTTATCTATTTTCACCTGAATGCCTATCTTCTATGGATGCTTCTTCTGCCAGCTTGTTGCTTTTCACTTGTATATCTTCCAGTTTGTGGGAAATCAGACATATATCATCGGCGAAGTTCAGATCCTCCAAGTTTTTGTGTGAGTCCATTTTATGCCTGCTTCCTCATTGGCCGTTGTCTGTCGCATTATCCAATCTACCGGAATCAGGAAAATCATTGGCGATAGTAAGCAGCCTTGTCTTATTCCTGTCTTCACTTCGAAGGATTCCGTAAGTTTCCCGTTGTGCATTACTTGGCATGCAGCATTATCGTACAACTGTTGGATGAGATGTATAATTGTCGGCAGCACCCCGTAGTAGCGAAGTATTTTCCAAATCACCTCTCGATCGACGCTGTCGAAGGCCTTTTCAAAGTCGATGAAGTTGAGATAGAGACCTAAGGCGATTATTATTTGACTTCCGTACTAATGTGCTGATAACGAGTTGAAGGAGAAATTCTAAGTAATATCAGTGTGCACACAAGTGAATACCTGTAAAGAAAGATGGCTTATGTGGCAAAAATAAAGCGTGCAATCTAAAGTCGTGCAAGAAGAACTGAAGATGGAAAACGGTGGGCAATTTCCCGAGAAATCGCAAGTATATATTAAAACGTATTTCTGTGTATTAAGGCACATACTTTCACTGCCACTTTTAACGAATTCCAATGACTTACTTATCCATTCGTTGAAGTGGCTTTCGATTCTTCGACATCAATTCAGAATTCGATTTTAGTTACTTGTAGAGTTTAGTGATGCATCGTTCCTTCTTAAAATGCATTATGTAGCACACAAAATCGCTTCGTAAAAATCCTATCAGGGTATCCAGTTTCAGTATTGCGGAGTTAGGGATCGATAAAATAATAGAAATTCATGAAGACAATTTTCTCTTCTGACCTCGCCTAGTTAACTAGCTTGCTAGTTTTCTAGCCGGTTTCAAGCCCGGGTAGAGAGGGAGGGTTGGGCCTAGGACTAGTGACCCTAGCCCACAAAACCAATCAATCAAACTGCTACACATTAAAAATACAAAAAATACAAGTAACAAACTTATTTTCTTAGCTGGAATCGGAGAGACAAACTAAACAACGGGCTGGCCAAAGCCTTCGGGAAGCCAGTCAGCAGATGAACCTGCCCCTCTTTGAAAGCAATAATAAGAATGGGGACGTGGAATGTCCATACAATCTACGTAGCCGTTTCAGAAGGTTACCCGGGTAGCAAAATAAATGAAAAGATATGGCATAGAATTGCTGGGAATCTGCTAAAGCAGATGGAATGGATGTGGACTATCGAAATTGCCAAATGGTGAGTCAGTAATGTACTCAGGTCTGATCACCCAAATGACAACCAAGAACACACTGAGGCTGTGAGTGGCATTCATGATGTCACCAGTGGTGGCCAAAGCTCCAAATGCAGTGGAAAACAATTTCAAACAGGATCATGACGGCAAGATTCAACTCAAAAGGAAGAAAGCTTACAATTATCCAATGCCACGCACAGTGCAACAAACAATGCGGAACAAGAGAAAAAGGAAGATTTCTACAGACAGCTAAAAACAGTAGTGGAGATCCCAAATGGTGACATCAAAATCCTAATGGGCGATATAAATGCCAGTTGAATTGGAAGCACATGATACAGGAAGAAAACTCATCATGGGACAAGAGGCTCTCGTTCGGAGAAATGAATGAGAACGGAGGATTTATTCGCTTACTAATGAGCCTTCAATGATTTGGTGACCGGAGGTAATGCACAGAAGCACAAGGATATACACAAAGCAACATCGATTTCGCCTGACAGTCACACCACCAACCGAATAGACTTCATCTCAATGCTGCTCAAGGAAATGGAGACGCAACCAGTGGGTTGGACACAAAGTTGAGGAGGGCAGCGGATGTGGGCTGAGACCATCATCCACCTAAGGGAACCTTCAAGCTACAATCCGTTAAAACAATTGGAGATAGGCCACAACTCAAGTCCAACATTCAGAAGCTGAAGGACAAAACCACAAGGGATACCTTCACTGCAGATCAGATCATAGTCAAGTCGGATAAACTATGTGGTATCAATGATGAAACCTGTGCAGAATAATATCGGAACCCTTTGAATGTGATGTTCAAGAAGACGTGTACAAATGTTCTAGGGAGAAAGGAGATACACGACAAGGAATGGCTCTCAACGGATACCACTTGAAAGCTAATCCAGGAGAGAAGAATGGTGAACGGGAGGATGACTCAATGCAAAGATGGACAAGAGGAGGAGAAGATCAGTTCAGTGTACACTATACTGAATAAAGAAGTGAAGAAGAGTACTAGAAAAGACAGAAGACAATTCCACGACACACTGGCAACTGAAGCAGAACAGGTTGCAGGCAGAGACCTCAGGATATTATATCGGATAACCAGGTCTCTATCCGGGAAGCGATCAACCCAGATGATGAAACCAATAAAAGATGTTCAAAGGAAAGAAACATAAAGGTATTTCTGAATGGATAAGCTAAGATAGATATCCAGGAAAATGAACATTACAGTTTTAACCACAACGAATAGCTTTTGAATTGTACTTGTAGTGCTGGATGACAAACATCAGAAATATGTATAGTGTAACAATCACGATGTGAACAAAATTGTAAACAATATAAAGAAAAAAAAACGAAACCATATTTAACAACTATGAGAAGACAAAACAGGCTACCTACCTTGTTCTGCAGCAGCATCTAATAACAAACCAACGGATTTAGGTGATAAAGTCATGCCACGCATAGTAGATGAAGAAGACGGCGAAGATGACGATTTCATCATCAGCCGATTCGACATTTTACTATTGCCATTTCCATTACTATTTTTACCGGCAGACGATGGACCAGAGGAGGGCTGAATTAATTCTGAGCTCATTATATGATTTGGTATAGGTAACTCACAGCCTATACCTGACCAACCAGTAAAACACCGACAATTTCCATCCATACAAACTCCATGTCCAGAACAATTAGATGAGATGCATGTACCTGGGATAAGTAAACGATTTGCAACGTATTTTATCTAATGAAATCAGTGAAACGGGAAACAAGACAATCAAACACAGTTATATTCTAAACTTAAGGAAAAATTATCAAACACTTCCTTATCACATCAAGTGGTTTATAGTTTCGCTGGCCATATTGTATTGAGATTATCATTCAAATTATTTATACTGAAAATAACAATGCCAACAGTACTGACTGACTATGACGACAGCGACGAATCACAACAACGACAACAATCTCACCATCAAGCATTATTATTATTGTTCCCTTGGGCCCCTAGTGGAACGTAGGGCTTCAACTGCACGTCTCCACTTGCCACTTCTGTCTTCCTTCTGCTGTACTTTTCACCTCCATCCATCTTAGTCCATACTCTTTCAACTCCTCTTCACACGATCTCCTCCATGTCACCCTTGGACGTCCCACACGCCGCTTCCCTTTCGGGTTTCACTCGAGGGCTTTGCGCGCGATGTCACCCAGCGGTCTCCTCAGCGAGTGTCCGATCCATCTCCACTTTCTCCTGCATATTTGCTGGTTGGTGATTGGTTCTTGTTTTGTTTGTTTGTTCCCATAGTTTCTTGTTGGTGATTAATTCTTTCCAGCCCGGCCATCTGATCTTCAGTATAGATCCAGCGAAGACAGTTGTTGATAAAGGTCTGGTCTGCAACAGGCTGTTGGAAATATTCTTTGTGACCCACCCGCCCGCCAAGTTTCTCATCCGTATAGAAGAGTTGACTGACTTGACGCTGTTTGTATTGAAAATCCGACCGAATTTTGTTGTTGATGCTGGCTGAGTGACGCAGATTTCCAGATTGGTTTCAGGTTGATGAGTGGATGTGTTTCTCGCCTTCCCATCAAGCATACGTGTCATAAAAGTCTCTTCAGGAATATATAAGGGAATTCAACAAGACATTGACAGATGTACTCTATACTTAAGTAGGGCAGTGTTAATTCGACTTTGATGATGTGTACGTGTAACAATCAGTTAGCAGTGTGGTGTTAAAAATCAAATTGCTTATTTATCAAGACAATTTCTGTCATCTTTAACTGAGTAGATTAATTTGATGGTTAGATAAAGAATCGAAAGTTTATGCGTAAAATAATGTGATTCAAGCTATGACGCAAATGTTATACAGGTGTTTTCTTCTAGTCTACGACTTTGGAGCAATGTTCATTCACACCCATGAACACAGAAGAAATCATCTCTCGTGGCTCTTTCACATAGTAGAATGTACCAACATGACTGGGTCAAGTTGACTTATCGAAATGCCACCTAATCGCCACCTGAAAGAGGTGAATTCTTACACTGGTATATAATGCTAATCACTTATGTAATATATTTGCACGACATTCAATTGAACATTGAAATGAATGAATGAGCAAGTCACCTATATACATTGTATTGAAAGAAATTCTGTTGAAATTTCATAATTTATTAATCATCTGTTCTGATTATAGAAGTAATAGATTGGCTAAACAAAAAAACTTTTATCCAGGTCAAGAAGTCAAATGTGAATAACAAAACTGAACTTAGTTCCTTCTACAAATTGACTTTTTTATATACTTATATAACTCTTTAAACAAAACAATTTATTCAATTTTAAAAAATGTGTTCAAGTATTGGTTTTGTAGGGACTTTGTTTGGTTCATTGAAGGATTTCATCAGTTACAAAACCATTGGAAAACCTGGGAGTACCGAACAGCTGTTCATATCGTCCTAGTCTGGGAATCTTCAGCATTACGCACCCACCGCCAGGGTTGGAAACCATGACCCTCTGGTTACAAGGCAGGCTAGCTCGTAGATCATTAAGCCACTGGGACTCGATCCATTGGCTACCCTATCAATACTAACTTTTGACAATTCATGACATAGCGCGACCACTTCGCAATGTCTTCTTCAATGCGTTACTGCCTCACCTTCAACCTGCTGAAGAGTTGCAAACTGGTACGAAACAGCTGTCCAGTACTCCCTGCAGGTTTTCCAATGGTTCTATAACTGATGTCAGCTCATGATGAAATCCTCAAACCAGTTTTAAAATAAAACTATCAGAAAGGTGATTCAGTTGAAACTTTTTAAAGTATATCACGCATCATATAAACTAATCATTCAATCTTTTAAGGTATAATACCATAGAATAAAACAAAAGAAGGCTAAAAAAGAGGGAGAGAAAAGTGGAGAGTGGAAGAGAGAAAAGTACACTAACAATATACATACACGGACAATTCAACGGATTTAAGACTTTCTACTGAAAGTAAACATTCCCCCAAGAATCTAACAAACTCTGAATATACTATTACAGACGAACAGAATAATCTCTTCGATTGGATTTTTAATCTTCTTGTTTTATATTTACCAGAAAAAGTCTTAATTGATTTCCACTGTCTGGTTTACCTGTTTTGTTTGTTTTTTTTACGACCCCAAGATTTTCGTCTCTGTCCTTTCACATTTTTTAAAAATTTCTTTACTACATGTGTGCGATTGCTTTTTATGTGTAGTGCAAAAAACCTCTTTGTAAATTTTATCAAAAATTTTATCGAGAGAGAGCAAGCAGATAACCCATGGAAATAAAAATCAAGTCCCACTAAAGAGAGACACTTTACTGTCTGTTAAAGACTCAGACGACTGTATAGTAGTGAATTTGGCTTAGTCCTGCGGACATTCAGTCATGACTGCAGGTATCTGTAGTACCAGTTATGTTCCCTCTGTCTTCTAAGAAAGAAGGGGCAAGGAAACATCAGTCTCAAAGGTTAATCTACAGGAATTCGTCGCTGACAACAGTAGGGTAATCTATAATGACGAAACTCCACTTCCAAACACGTTGTATACAACCTGTCAAAAGCGGATATCTTATGACCACAAACACTAATGCTTTTTATCCCAGGTGATACAAGAAGAAAATAGTGGAGAAGTAGCACATGAAACTCAGTGCCTACATTAATCGTTTTGCCTTTATCCCACTAATACGATTCCTCAAGTAGTTTCTTCACATGATCTTAACGCCTTAACCACTGCTAACTACATAAACCACAGACATTTTCTTAGTCTTTCATAACCACACTACCTTCAAATTTTTTTTAATTTTTGATTACAGCGTGATTCCACACTGTATTATTGGTACTAGTATGGAATTTTCAGCATGTGATATCGGTAGCCCAAATTTGGCAGGCCGATCATAGATATCAGGTGTGTGTCGGCAGGGGATCGAACCTTGAACCATGTGTATGGTCGGTCGGCGAGAGTCCTAACCACTGTGCCACCGACGCACTTTTGAGCAACAAACCACCAATATCCCAGATTTTGAATGTATGATGCGTTTCATTGACACGTAAACAAGACTCATCTTAAGTTATTCAATTAAACCTACCTGATGAAATTAATAAATCTTCAAAATGCACTCTGATACTGTCAGGAGATTTTTCGGTTATTTCTCATAAACTCACACTAATCTATGCATATTGGTTTGGGATACACGAAGGGAAGTATGGGCTGCCTAGTTGGCATCCTCAGCATGCTAAGAAACAATGGAGACTGCTGCTGGGATGTCCCATAATTATTATTCTCAATGGAGTAGATTTATTCAGTCTTTGTAACCATTCTGATTCTAAAAATACTCACTAATTTTCATCTGTTATTCAGCCTAGCGCTAGTGAACAATATGACACAGGCCTCTTATGATGCCTCTTTGTTCTAATTATTGACTTAAAACTCTTGAATGTTAACTGAGTTACACTTTCAATAGAATAACTGTTTTTTGTGTATTTTTCCTTCACGTTCCCCAGTGGAAAATAGGGCTTCAAGCTAGTGGCTTGAAGTTTCTGAAGCAGTGTATATTTTACAGGATGGGGTTGCTAGCCGCATGCCCAATTTTTCCTCTTTCCCAGTATTATTTCTGGCTTGGGAGTGTGTCGGTGGCCGGGGATCGAACCTAGGACTATGTGCATGGTCGGTGAGAGTCCGAACCGCTATACCACCGACGCAGGGAATAACTGTACACCATACAAAATAGCCTCCTGTTGCCTGACAAATAAACAACACACTGATTGCCTTCGTTTTCATTAAAACTTATTAACTTTAGTTTATTTTCAAAAAAAATAAGGATAAGAATTAAGCAACAAGAAACAGGGTAGGGAATTAAAACAAACAATTCCGGAAGAATAAATAGAAGGAAAGGAAACAAAATTGAAGGATGGTACGACACACAACCAAAGGCATGTACATATGATTAAAGTCTAGTAATATTTACAGCAGGTAATAAATATATTACATAATGTTAATATGGAATTAAAATATTTATTTATTTTTATCACATGACAGGTAGACAAATTTACAGAATACAGTAACGCAAAATGGGGAACAGAAAAAGTATTGTTATGGTGTAGTTAACATTTTTGAGGAAAACTATTTGATAAATGAATTATCGGGACAATCCCTGGATTATCTAGATGTGTTTCTAGGGTGTGTGTGTGTGGGTCTCCATGTGTAATGTACAACCAAGTTACATAGAAACTACGTATCGCATAGCTATTATTTAACTTGAGACTTTTGAGGATATTAGATAGTTGGAGGCAATCGGCCATAGGAAGCCTTGCACTCACCAGTCAGTCAGCAAGGCATATCTGCAACCTTGAAGGAACAACTCATGTCCCTTCTGAGATTCTAACCCGCGTCACCCAGTGCCAACTACAGTCAGAGACGTTACCACTGAGCTATTCGGGCTCGCGATTGACCTCCTGTAGGACTGTAGTGGATATTTTGATTGGACACTAGTAACTAGTGTGACGTGTCCAGTCCTTTCTTCAGACTACTGGAGGCAGTCAACAGGATGTCCTGCTTGATAAAAACAACTGGAACCGGAGAGAGTTCAATGGTGACGTCTATTACTGGCGAATTGGGTGACCAAGGCTTCGAAATACAAATGTGTCAATAAACAAGAAACCCAGAGCCAGGACTTCTTGTCCATCCGTTACCTGTAATCATCTAACACTAGTTCAGTAAGTAAGTAAGTGCACCACGATATGAAATCTCTCAGAATGGTGGTGGTAATCAGCATTTCATCAAATTGGTTGACAGAATTTAGTAAACACTGCTAAGGACTAAGCATATAGTCTCACTCGTCAGTGACCAATAATTATAAGTCATGACTGATTTGTAAAGTGAATGCAGAATTATCAGTGATTAAAGATAATTTTATTATTTATCCATTATTACTGAGATTACTGTTTTGTTAATTCTAATGATGAATGGGTGTAGAATAGAATAATAAACAGTTTACTCAGGTATAAACGTTTTGCCTTTTTTTATGATTAGAAAGCGTAAAACTGTGATAGAGTGAGTTTGAAAAGAAATCAAATATTGAATACTTAAATCAAAATTGATGGTAGGTTAAATTGAATTATTCTTTATAATTATTCTAACAAAGATAATAATGATAATAATAATATTAACTGAATACGTCTAGCCAGTAAATCTAATGTTCACAAAATTGTCTAGTGTATCTGTGATGATTAATGAACTCTGATGAGAATAATTTTATGTTATCTATCTATCTTAATACTACTTAGTGTTATTGGCATCAACATTACAATCTCTCCAACTATACACAAAACCATCATCGTCATCATTGATAGTACTAGTAATAGTATTACAAAAGAATGCACTATGAATTTAACAGATATACTGAAGAGTAGTCACTGGTGTAGTTGACTGTTGTGAAACTATTATTATGTCTCAGTAGTAAGATAATAAGTCGGAGATAAGCTTGCTTTAATTACAAGTTGATCACGGATTGGTATCAGTTAGAGAACCATTGGACAGCTGTTTCATCCTAGTTTGGGCAGTACGCACCCACTGGGATTCGAACCTAGGACCTTCCGGTTACAAGGCAAGCTCGTATACCATTCAGCCACTGGGACCTGATTTCTCAATGGCCGGCTCATGAATTCTAACTTCTACCAATTCGTGATTTAGCGCGATCAGCTCGCTAGTGACTTGCTATAGGATGGAGTTTCCTGAAGTTCTAGTGAGAAGTTGTGACCAGTGAGGTCCAATTAGATGTCACGTGTGTGGATGGATGTCCTACCAACAACAATGGTTGGGGTCGCGCTAAACCACGAATTGGTAGAAGTTAGAATTCATGGGCTTCCTGGCCATTGAGGAATCGGGTCCCAGTGACTGAATGCTATAAGAGCCAGCTTCACTTGTGACCGGAAGGTCCTGGGCTCGAACCACAGTGGTTGGGTAGTCCCGATGATTCCCGAAACAAGATAAAACAGCTGTCCAGTAGTCCGGTGCTGGTTTTCAATGGTTCTCTAACTGATATCAATCCGTGATCAACTCGTAAAAACATAACTAACCCTTACAAACCAAACTATAGAAAATTGCTTTAATTAATTAAATAGTAGTAAAGGGTGTGTAACACTACACGGAATAAGTAATTGTTTTGTAGCGTAGGTTGTTCAAGGGTATAAAACACATTCGCCAACCAGGCACGTGGTCCCGGTCCAATTTGTGAATGACACACTTTTAAACTTCACTCCGCCCGTAGTAAGTCCAGCAAAGAGGGAAGGTTTGGCATGAGGTCAGTGACCCCATGTCGTAAGGAACAGAGACCACCGCTACTGAAACTTGCAGCCATATATGCCGATCGGAATGCAAACAAGTGTATAGTGTGCCAAAAATGAATTCATAAATGTCCAGTAAACACATATAGTGGGTGATACAGTGATTTCATTTATTTATACCAAAGCAAACAAAATTCAATCAAGCAAATGGTGGAATGAAAACGAACTAACTTAGTACGCTTGAATGCATCATCATCGAATTGTTACAAAACTAAACTATTCAGACTGTTGGACATCAGAGTTATGAATACAAGAGAATACAGAGTTATTTTAGATGAAGTATCCATTTCCTGATATAAATCATATCATTTTTATATCATTGTATAATGTTGAACAGATCGAATCACCGATTTGAAGGATTATACACTATTGTTCATATCATAAACTTATTGACGCAAATATAGGGTGCAGATAGGAGGAGGGACATGTGTCACACAAGAATGAATCTATAATATTGATTTGACTGTAATAGTAGACGACAAATTCTTGTCGACAAGACGTTGTCAAACACTTGTGTTATGCAAACGAGTAAATCTAGTTACAGAAAACCATTTATAATCAGATTAGATTTTATTCAGGCTAGATAGAGGCTTGAAGTTTCGATAGCAGTGGTGTTTGTTTTTACGGGATGGGGTTGCTAGCCGCATGCCCAGCCTTCCTTCTGCACCAGTCTTATTAATGGCTTAGCGAGGTAAAGGAGTGCGTCGGCCGGGGATCGAACCCTGAACAATCTGGCCTGGTTGGTTGAACACAATAAGTTATCTAGTAGGATAGAGTACAGTATAGGATTCAATTTTTAAAAGCCATCAAGATTTAAAGCTGTCAGACATATAACAACAGAGGTTTTTACTAACTGTTTGCATCCAGCTAACCCTCATAATGGAAATGACATTCATCTTAAATAATGTATAACAAACGAATACGTTTTCAGGGATACAGTAATTAATGTTCACGATAGGAGTAAACGTTTAGAACACCTGTGTCTTACTGCATAGTATGGTATAGTATAGTCAGCAACAGAAGTAACATGAAACGTGAAATATCTATTCGGTCAAGTTGTGCTTTACGCCACATGTCCACTGGTGAATGTTGTTTTACGTTGACTTGATATTTGAAGATTAAGAAAAACAATGACAAGTAGTTTGTTTATACAAGAAATAAGTACAAACGCATACGTGCATGCATACACAGTTAAGCACATGAACGGTAATATGTTACAAACACACAAAGAAAATCCAACTGTAAAAGAAACATTCGATGGTATGAAAAAGATAATGCAAGGGATAAGAAAGTAGAATTAATCAACAATTAATTACAAAAAGCAGTGAACTCTTCACGCGTATACATACATATAAGCCAATAATACACTATGTGATTATAATGACAACGCATCATAGGATGATGACTCACGTGTCTGGCATGTATTGCCTGCATAACCATCATAACACTGGCATTCGCCGACAACACAACGACCATTACCAGAACACGTTGGATCTTCACACTCAGACCATAGCGTCTGGCATTCTTGACCTTTCCATTCAGGATAACATCGACAAGCACCAGATGCATAATCACCGTGTCCACTGCATACTTTCGGCAATTCAGCTGTAGTTGTGCAAATAAACAAAGAAAGGAATTAAGAAATTAGATTATGAAAACTAGACAAAAAAGGTCATCGGAGGAGAATTAATTGGCAAAATAACACAAAGCAATACTTAATTTTAGTGGTTATTTGTTAACACATTTGCGATATAAACAATATAACGGTTGATGGTTGTGAATCAGCAAGCCACGCATATGTTTCGACGGAATTATCGCATAACTTTCAATTAAGCTAAGCAGTACACTAATGATTGATGTATATCTAGTTACTAACTCCTTCATATTTATTAGGTAAGTCTTGTGCAGACAGCAGCAAATGTGTTCTTGTATTCTGCCGCAATGTCAATTAATTTTTTCCTTTGTGATCGTCATCAAGAATTACGCTTTGCATGAACAAAACAAAACTTTCATTTGAAAACGATAAGACGAAACCCTAAGAATTTCAAGAGAAACGTGATTCACTGGCTCCTGTACTCAATCACCAGCCAACTGGTTTCGAGGTCGAATCTCACTCCAGCTACTTCAGCTTGGACAACTGGATAGTATTATCAGACATCACAATGTAAGTGAGGGTCATAGCCCAGTTCTAACAAAGTGTCCAAGTAAAAATTTCAAACTTCATAGTGGTTAAGAACTTTCAGATCTCTCAATTGAATTAACTTAATTAAGCCAGCTATCAACTAGGAGATCGGAGCATGAAACAGCTAACCAGTGTTTCGAATGACAATATAATGTAATAGATATGGAACTTCTGTGAGGGCCAACACAACACATAAGGAATGTACTGCCAAAAACAACTTTGTGAACATTCTGTTCTCCAGATAGTGAAGCAGAAAAACTCTAAGCTTACATTTCTTTCATGAAGTGCTTTCTCATTTCTTTGCAGTCGAAGAATAACACTGACATCATATTGTGAGCAGAAACAACATCGACTGAAAACACTCAGCACGCTTCTGAGTGTGAAAATCTACGCTCGAATACAATTTGTGAATAGTGCTCAGAGACAAATATACACTTCAACAAAACTCTCTACATTTTATGTAGTGTCATCCAGTTAAGTTGATATGGGATTTCACAATTTGAAAAATCAACATTTCAGTTATCTCAGTAGGAAATCATCACTCAACTGCCCCATCTTTGCAGAGCTTTACTAATGGTTAAGCTAAACGCCCGTTCGGGATTTAGATACCTTCGATGAGCTACTGGGTGACATTCAACTAACTTTATCAATCAGTCAGTAGTAGACACCAATCTGCAGCTATACGAATTCGACAATCAAGAAATAACAAACATCAAGACAGAAATCTGACTCCTGTTAAAAACAAAATGAAAAAAATGGCTCAGTGTTGTCTGTAACGACGATAAGTGAACTGGATTAATGACAGAAAATTAGGAAGAATAACACGCACACATACATACACACAGACAGACAGACAAAAGCTGTATAGACTGCTTTGCAGATAGTTCCATTTTACAGATTCAGAAAAATCAGCAGTTGAGTGAGGCAAATATTCAAAATAGGGAATAATCGCATGTGCAAAATTTACTGTTAAAGGATAATAAAAATAATACTCCGAACAAGCATATACACACATAAGCTACAAGTGTTTCAAAAAGGATTGTGTACATCATATTTTCCTGATTTCTACACACAATTTTTCTTCTACCTTGTGGTCAATGATACCCCAATTGAAATGGATAATAATAAAAGAGAGGTTGGGCAAAACTTATACATACACAGCGTTTTCAAGTAGACATTCATTACAAAATTAACTCAGATTATTCAGAAAACGACTTCAGAACACTTGTAGACCCTTCGGTTAGCGCAAACACACTAGCTGAAAGCCAACTACTTTCAAATGTCACTATCAAGCGGTAATAAAACAGACTTTTGGCGAGTAGTACTCTTTTTTTTATCTCTTTACGTTCCTAGCGTCGGTGGCAAAGCGGTTAGGACGCTCGCCGACCACGCACATGGTTCAAGGTTTGGTTCCCGGCCGACGAACTCCTTTACCCCGCTCAGCCACAAATAATGCTGGTAAAGAGGAAAGGTTGGACATGAGGCTAGCAACCCCATCCTGTAAAATAAACACTGCTACAGAAACTTCAAGCCACTAGCTTGAAGCCCTATATTCCACTGGGGAACGTGAAGGAAAAAAACGTTCCCAGTGGAACATCGGGTTTCAAGCTACAGACTTGAAGTTTTCGTAGCAGTGGTGTTTGTTTTTACGGGATGGGGTTGCTAGCCTCATGCCCAACCTTCCCTCTTCACCAGTCTTATTACTGGTGAGGTAAAGGAATGAGTCGGCCAGGGATCGAACCCTGGACCACCTGTATGGCTGGCGAGCATTCACCCCCTATGCCACCGATGCATAAGTACACCTACTAAAATAATTTGCTGGAGACTGCTTATTCGTATCGGACGATTACAAAGAGCATCCTACAGACTTTATCAGTTGTCCATGATGAGTTCATGTTTCGCTTATATGACATATAGTCATAATCAAGTACCGGCAAACTAACACTTGAAAATTAATTTTATGCTCACTGGCGACTGAATCTATACAGAAATCTAACCAGAGTGCTAGTAAGAAGCCGCAACCGGCGGAGTCCACCAAGTCAGGCAGAAGGATAGTTAGTCGCCTGTGATATTGACAGGCGGTTGCGCTAAATATCGCAAATTACGAGAACTTGGAAATCACAGGCCTGGTCCCAGTGTCTGGATACTCTAGGAGTTCGCCTTGTAGCCTGAAGGTTCTGGATTCGAACCCCAGAGTGTGTATTGTGTGCTGAAGAGTCCTGAACTAGGGCAAGGCAGCTATCCAGTACACCCTGGTCTCTCAACCATCCTCTAACTGATGTCAGATCGTGATCAATTGTGTAAATATGAACAGATAACTAGCTATATATTTGATGCATAGAAAACCACACAGCATGATAACGATGAGAAAACGCCGGATAAACTATAGAGAAGCTTTAAAGCCCTAATTCATACAAATTAATGTTTACCTCATCGTTAAATATTGTGATAATCATGTAAGTCTGATATTGTATAATCAGAGGTATGAAAATCAAACCACTTAGAGACTAGTAGTCGACTTCTACTAGTTTGTGACTGTATTCAACTAATCAAACACAAAAATTGACTAAGAGAAGAAAGAAACAATAGCAAATTTTTTCGCTTCACTAGTTTTCTTCTGTCCAATCAACAATATATATATATATATATATATATATATATATATATATATATATATATAATAATCTGTATGCGCACTATACCTACAGACACTGAAATAAGCTTTGTAAAGCATTGTAATTATATACAATAAAAACTAGGTTTCATGAATGTAACAATTTTCACAGTTAAATGACAAAAGTCAGGTTAGAAAACTATGCGACTAACACTGGAGTAATAGAAAACCAGCTAGTAAATGAGATGTAGGGAAGTAGTGAAAGAAAGAAAGAAAACAAGAGAGAGAAGGAAGAAGCTAAAGCATGCATGCGCGCATGGAAGCATTCACATGTAAATATTTGGTGAAAAAAAAAACAAGACAAGTAAAACATCATTTCGCTGTTCTACAAAACTAAAATGGAACAGTAATCCATCATAACGCAGCATTTCTTCTTTTGGTATATTTTCCAATATTCTAATATGCATATTTTAGCAGTTTACTGACATGATGATAGTAAAAGTTGGAAAACATGAGAAAGTTAAACATTTTGACCAGAGGCATCACATAGAATTATTTGTTTGCCATACAAATGGTGAGATTAAGTTCGAATTGCCAACGAATGAATGAACCACTCACTTCATGTGACCGTGTGGTTTACTTTTTCTAATATAGCCCCACAACACAGCTTACACATCATTCGATCACAGTCTATCTCAAGGTAAAAAAAATTATATATGTTCAATACAAGTTCACCTTTAACGCTTTGAAAAAATTTGGGCCTTGGATATATGATATTCACTATAATAAAGGTTTTTTTTTGTATTTCCCAATGAATGAAAAACAAAACGATATTGCTGTTTTTACTGACATTTCGCTATTTAATGCTGCTAATAGCTTTATCAAAGTATTATTAAACCGGAATTTACAAAATATCAGCATTTATATGACAAAGAGCTAAGGGGTGAGAAAATAGACTTAGGTCAAGTTAAAGGGAAATATTGAAAGTCAAAATAACAATGATGATCACTCAAACCAAATATCAAAGGTAATAGTACATCTGTTATGATGTCGAAATAAAGTTTACTGACTTGATCATCGTTCGTCTGTCTGGGGTCATTTTTCATTGTCAAGTTGGTCAACTGGTAGAGATAACAAAACCAAGTGTAGATTGTTGGATTTGATCAGTGTGTGACATTATAAAAGTAGTATGTGTTTGCATAGTGAACTTTCTTATCACATCGTGTTGATTTTGTCATTTCGTTGGGGAAGGGAGGGAGGTATTTTGATTGAACACTAGTAACTAGTGTGACGTTTCTGGTCCTTTCTTTGGTGCAGACTGAATTTTATCTAGGTAGCTGGACATCACGGTGCACATTGATTTGATGATACTAGACGGTTGGAGGCGGTCGGCCATAGGAAGCCTTGCGCCTAGGTTTCGTGCTAGTTGGCACTCATCAAGTTCCTTCAAGGTTGCAGATACGCCTTGCTGATGAGTGCCAACTAGCACGAAACCTAGGTCCAAGGCTTCCTATGGCCAATTACCTCCAACCATCTAATATCAGCAAACGGGAGGGAGGTGTTGTAACCAGGTTGAATTCTGTTTTAGTTCATCATTCCTGCTCAGAAAATTTGGATTTCACTTGATATGAAGTGCTTCTGATATTAGATTTCTGAAGTTTTCTCGATTATTTCAATATTGCCAAAATCAATTTTGTGACCTGATTCTATAGCGTGTAGACAGGTTACGGTTGATGATTTTTCGAGTTTTTATAGGTCAACCGGGTTTCTCGGTGGTCGAACAGATGCTCTACGGCGTTCATTTCTTCT